TTGTTTTTTCCTTTTTGATGTAATGGATGGTATTAATTTCTGAATGACCCAGATTTACAAGCTTGTGTAACCCCATTGTTCATGGTGTATAAATATTTTACACACATTGGATTAAATTTGCTAATGCATGTATGCACCGCTGACAATAAAACACGTTCTCACACATGATTCTCATCATGTATAAGGTTCATGCTGATTACTGTAACCCCAGTCCTCGTTAATTTTCTATTTCTGTGATAAAGCATCATGAGCAAAGACAACATGGGGGACGAAATGTTACTTCATTTTACAGCTCCCAGGTTTCAGTCCACAATGAAAGACAGTCAGGACCTCAAGAAGGGCAGAGCTGGAGCAGGAACTGACAGAGAAAGCATGGGAGAGTACTACTAATTGTCTTCTTTTTCTCTGTAGAGTTTTTCTCAACAGTCACTAATAACAACCACACAACAGGTTCAATATTATTTTGTCTCAAAATTGCCTTCACCAAAGAAATTATACCATTACTTTTTAATTTAGCATCAGACACATTCTTAGGATGGGCAGAATAAAACAAAATCATTGCCCAAATATCACAGAGGTGGTCTCTCTCCCAGTTACAGTTAAACTCTTCAGTTTGCCTTAGCCTCAGAACTGTTTGCCAGGCTTGCACTAGGATGGCCTGTTAAGCTTGCTTATAGAATCCAATTTCTTTTCTAGCCCAATGTCCCAGAGTCTTCCACATTCCTTCAAAAAACCCAACATGCTTAGGTTCTTCACAGCAACAGCCAACTCTGGTACCAGCTTATGTATTAGTTACTTTTCTGTTGTTGTGATAAAACACAATTTATAGAAGATTTTATTTTGGCTTATGGTTCCAAAGGGTTAGAATCTATAATGGCAGGGCTGAAGCAGTAGGCAGGCATGGTGGCAGGAGTAAGATGTTGAGAGCTCACCTCTTGAACCACAAACACAAAAAGAACAAACTGGAAAGGGAAATGGTTCAAGTCTCTAAACTTTCAAAGCCAACCTCCAATAGTTGAGAGCTAGACCAACCCAAGGTTTTCTCAGAGGCCCCAATGAAAGCACAAAGGGAGAATTAGTTCTGTGTCATTGTCCAGGAACAGTCTTGGCAAGGCTGGTCTGGGGATACAGCCAGTTTCTCTAAAGGGTCAAGGTTGTGGTTTCTGGGGACTTGACTCCCCCCACTCTGGGCTGTGATTATCAGTCCCAGGGAAGCTGCATCTGTGGTATTCTGTGTTCTCTTTGCCAACATTGTGTGATTTAGCTCTCTGCTCACCTTGACCCATTTTCCCCTACAAACAGTATATATGATGTTAATACTTCTTAAAATTGCTTAGCATAAGTCATCAGCTTTTGCAGGACCTCCTGCTCTCAGTGATTGCTTTTAGTATTCTTTATTTCTTGTCTCCTTTATTATTCAATCCCCAGTCCTCCCACTTGACTCCTCACCATTCAGGACCCTTATTCCTGTGAGCTCTGATCCTCCAGCAACAACATACTTCCTCCAACAAGACTACACCTTCTCAACTTCTCCAAACAGTGCCATCACCTGGGGATCAGGAGTCAAATTCCTGAGACTATGGGGGACATATTAAAACTACGATACCCTCACTCTCTTTAGTCTTTCTCCCATGTACTGAACACCTACAGTACAATGAGGCTGAAGAATTCAATGAAAAGAACAGAAGAAACCTAGCAACTTTGCAATGAGTCTTTGGGCTTGAGGATAACTGGTATACCTGCAGAAGTCAAGCAGAGGGTCCACATGTACTTGTTCATACACATGTTCTCAATCTTTCTCCTAGATATTATCTTAGTCATTGTTCTATTGCTGTGAAAAGACAACATGACCAAGGCAACTCTTATAAAAGAAAGCATTTAATTTAGGGATCATTTACAGTTTCAGAAGTTTAGTCTATTGTCATCATGGTGGGATGGACACATATGGTGCTGGAGCAGCAGCTAAGAGCTATATCCTGGTCCACAGGCTGAGAGGATGAGTAACTGGGTGTGCCATAGGCTTTTGAAATCTCAAAACCCACCCATCAGTGACACATCCTTCAACAAGGCCAGATCTCCTAATTCTTCTAATCTAATTGAAGAGTTCCTTCCATTCCTTTGTTACTAAGCATTCAAATATAAAAGCCTATGTGGGCTACTTTTATTGAACCACCACAGATAAGCACACTGATGTTTGGAAGAAGAAGTGAATCCAGGTCTGTGGTGCTGAATTTATTGGTTGGCATAGTATCAAATCTGGAAACACATTCCTCCCTAGATCATTCTTTCAAAAAGAGCAAAGCCTTAAGACATTGGCAAACATGTTAGTCTCAAGTCCAACTGATAATATATCATGGTTAGGAAGTTAGGCTAAAAAGTTAGGCTATTTACCCAGAAGGGCCTCAGTAAACATTTTCAGGCCTATGATCCTATAAATACTGATTTCAAACAGCCTCAAGGACTTCACAGGACCCTGATAGCCACTATTTAAGATCAGCAGTCTCAGGGAGTTCTCATGATCTTGCACAAATAATATTGGAGATTTGTACTCCTTGGATGCTCAAACTGATCAAACATACAAAGAGCACAGTGGTTGCCAGGGAAGTCACACAAACACTTAGAGAGCCCCTCCTCATTCAAGACAATGCACATAAATCCTGACCAAGACTGAGGTCATGTTAGGGCAGAAAGATTACTTCCCACCATGAGCCTTTCATTGAGTAGTAACAGCAATAATCCTCAGCTCGTTGGGCACTGATGGACACACAGGGCTGTAGGACTAAGCCAGTAGAGTCCACCCAGCTATGTTCTTAGTGACTGTGATACAAAAAGAGTGGACTATGAATTCAGAGCCATGGGAAAAGAATGGCAGACCAGCACAGACTCCAGTTCCTGGAGAGTTGTTTTTATTTATTTATTTTTACATAACAGTGACACAGCATTACTGCTGTGACTCAATATCAGACATACCACAGAGGGTTGATGGGATGCTCCGTGAGGCCCCCAGTCAACTGAGAGGCAAGTACATCACATGTAGGTCCTTCCGCCAATAAAGGGTAGAACAAAGCAAGCCTCCACTAGAATTAATTTGTGGTGTGCTCATGTGTGTATACATGCACGCTTGTGTGTGCACAACCACGTGAGAAGGCTGGTGTCCTGTTCTATCATTCTCCACATTACTTCCTTGAGACAGGGTCTCTTACTGAACTTGGAATTAGGCTGAAAAGCCCAACAATACTTCCATCTCTATTCTAGACAGCACTGGAGTTACAGCCTTGTGTGGTCATGCCTGGCTTTTTACATGAGCTCTGGAGATTCAAGCTCAGATCCACATGCTTGTGTAGCAAGAAGTCTAACCACGGAGCCATGTAGCCAGCACCCAGAATCAATTTTTAATCACCTAAATGCAACTTACTACTTCACACCACCATAACACCAACTCACTTCAGATCTTGCTCCCAGTTGTTCTCTGACATGCTGGGAGCTGTCTCTATTTCTCTCCCCCACTGCTCCTGACCTTCCACATGAGGTTTCTCTGTGGGCTGACCTGGGGATCAGTTTTGAGTGTACATCCTTGCATTACAGCATCCTCTCTTCCAAATTTATCATCTGCTCAAATTTATTATCTTTCAAATTTATCATCTGGCAAGGATGGCAGCAGTGTGACACACACCCAGTGGAGACAGATGCCCCGGGGGGACAATACCAATGTGAATCTGTTTTATTCACACACAGAGGGGAGGCAGGTCAGTGGGAAGTAAGCTGAAGCATCCCAGTGACATCTAAAAAGAGAGGGATCAGAGTCACAGATGCCTGGTTTTGCCAGGATTCCTGACTGTTTCCATCACATGGAGAGCAACCTCCCGTACTGACCTCTGAAGATCCTACATCTACCGCCCCTGCTGTGTTCTGTGAAATGGTTCCTTTTCCACCCTGGGATCTTTTGTTTCTCCTTTTCTTCCACTGACCATGATGATCTCAAAACTCACCCATCAGTGGGTTGACCATGATGACCATATTTCACACAGATTATAACGGACAATCTGTAAGTTATCATAGTAAGGAGAGAAATACAGACAATTGGTGGGCATCTCCATTATGCAACAACATAAACATCTCCTGTTCCAAACACATCTTGTACCCTGTGCTGAGAATCAGCAGATGTTTGAACTTCTGAATGTCCCAGACACCATAATACTATGGACAATCTGAGGAGTGAAATGCTCACAGAGGGCTCCATATGAGGAATCTCAGACATGATATGTGTTCAAACTGGCATTTGAGAGCAAGTGACAGATAGATAGATATTAAGGAGATATCAGCCCCAGATACCTGCTCCAGGAAACGCAAACAGTGAGGAGGCAAGAACAACTGTGAATATTGTTCCCACAGAGATGGAAGTGGATGTTGTTGCTAAGTCCGCTGTTCCATGCAGGTTCTCTTCAGAGGAAACCAACACCCAGAACAAAGAGAACAGCTGTGTTTCCTTTCCCATCTCCAGATGTTTTCTTAAGTGCCCATCTCCAGGATAAAACCCCATGTGAGCTGCACTCGGGAGCTCCCTGTTGTTCTGCTGTTGATGTCTGCCCTACATCACTAACCTGGATATTTATAAAGTATCCCCAGGCTGGGTAGATGAATATCCATGGTGAGGAACTCACAGTGGTGTGCAGACAAAGTGTTGGGGGAGCCTGAAGGAAACCACACTCTGCAGCTGTGCAGGGGAAGGGACCTGCCCTCCTCAACAGGAAGGGGCCAGCAAAGGAAGGGAAGCACCAGTTCTGCAGGATGCTGCCTTTGGGCCCACACTGCATTGAGGAAACATCAGGCACATGTGAGTGGTATTGGGGGAGGTGACATTTCTGTGAGAAGTCACTGCCGAGTCTGGAGTCTGTCCAAGTCAAATTAGCAGGGAGGTGAATGCCAGCTGCTCTCACTTCCCTTTTCTGTGTGAATACTGATCTTTCGACAAGCTCATGGGAAATGCTCAGCCCTAAGGACCCAAACACCCTGTGTGTGTTGTCTATTCCTAAGCACAGTTGGAGCTTCTGGGAAGAGATACCATGATCTTCACTTCCACAGCCATGCTCTGTCTGGGTGAGATATGAAGACGGGTAGGAGAGAAGCTTGGCACCATTGCCCAGCACTGACTGGACTTCAGGAAGGCCCAGGGGACTCAGGAGACTCTAGGGATGGGAGGGACTGATCAGTGAGGAATAAACTCACAAGCAAACTCTCTTTCAGGACTGACTCTGGGACTCAGGTCTCCAGTGCTGGCAGGTGAGTGTTCTCTGCTGTCTCAGGTCTTTACACCTCACTTAGAAGCAGGACCTAGCTAAAATCTTAGGAATGGAATGGAGAACAGCAAAGGTGAACTAATACTGCAGAAACCAGGAGGGTCCTGAGACTCACCAGTGAGATCTGCAGGGGGAGGATCTGGGACTGAGCCTCTGATTTCTTTTCAAGGATCCATTCCCAACCTACCCTCAGGACTCAGACAGGCTTTGTGGTCCTCTGAGGTATGAGGGTGACTATCTAATGTGAGGAGACCTCAAGGGCTCATAAGTTCCATGTTTATAAAAAGAGAAGCTCAGGTCTCTGGTGCAAACAGATTCCACTGGAGGCTGGGAACAAGCCCAAGTTTCTCCGCTGAATAGTATCATTGAGGGTTATATGCTGTTATTATGAAAACTCTGAAGGTTTATCAGGATACAATGACCTTCCTGCAGCTGGTGGTGGCACAGAAGATTATATTTAGGCTCTCCAGCCCCAGGCTCTGACCTTAGGAAAAGGGTGCCTCCCCACAGCTCATTACTGTGAGACTGTAAGTCCATTAACATATTCCCTCCATCTCTCCTAGGAGACCCCTACAGCAAACCTAGGTTGTCAGCCGTGGACAGCGCTGTTGTGAATGCAGGAGAGACTGTGACCCTTCAATGTATATCATGGCAGAGATATGATGGATTTATTTTGACCAAGGAAGGAGAGCCCAAGTTCTCCAGAACCCTGGACTCACAGTATATTTTCACTGGGCATTTGCAAGCCATGTTTCCTGTGGGTCCTATGACCCTCAGTGACAGGGGGACATTCAGATGTTATGGCTACTACAAAAAAGATCCACAGAAGTGGTCTTTGCCCAGTGACCCCCTGGAAATACACATATCAGGTGAGGCAGCTCCATTAATGACAGAATAACTTATTGAGACCCTAAAGTAAATGCTAGGAGCTCTGCTGTCAAGGGAATGGTTAGCTAAGCGGTACTTCTAGCTTCTAAGTCAGACTTACAGAGTGTGGTGTTCAGTAACACTTCCCGGGCATGATGAGGGTAAGCAGACTATTGGGCAGGAACCAGCTCAACTCCCAGGTCCTAGTCCCCAAGAGCTGCTTAGGAATCACTCTCTCTTGTGTGAACCTGACCCTCTTCTATTCTTAGGGCATTATCTGTGATGGAACTGTTCTGTCCCATAAAGTAGGATGTGACTTCTCTCAGTGCTTTGTCTTGCAGCCTCGTGCTGGGTTCTCTTAGGTTGATCTCCCAGCAATCTTTTAACTGCCTCAGAGGGGTTGTTACAGAAACTCAAGCTCATATGATATTTTCTCTAAGTTGTCAGCCCCATTGACCTACTGTACTTCTTGATTGCAGGCTAAGGGCTCACCAGGTCCACTCAGAGACCCAAATCCTGCAATACTCTATGGGGAAAGTCAAAGAAGTGATAGCTGTAATAAGGGACATGACTCTCAGGGAGCCAGAGAGATGGAGATAGGTCAGAGAATGAAAGGAAAAGGTCAGAGAAAATAAATAGACAGAGACAAAATCTTCATATTTCAGCCATGGTTAGATCTCAGGTCAGAACAAAGGCAAATCATCCTTCTTCCTTCCAGGAGAGCTGTCTGTCACAATCCTGTCCTCAGGAAATCCAATGACACTGCTGTGCTAATCATAGAGCCTGACAGACTTTTTCCTTATATTCAAATGCTCCGCCATGTCTAAGACCTTAAACTACAGCTCAATCCGACTAGGCAGAATTCTCTGTGAGTGTTGTGAACTCTAGACCTGCATATCTTATGGGTCCCAAGGATATTCTCTATACATCAAATTACCCACTAATGACCCCTGGTCCTTACAGTCTTAAGTGAGGTAGTATGGACCCAACATTTAAGAACTCAAAATCTCATTCAGTGTCCACCCCAGGAAAACTCTTAGTCTGGATGGAAATGAGAGGGCCTAGGGAGAGTCAGAAAGAGGGATATTCACTGTTTTTGAGATGGAGGCTGTCAGGGGATATCCACCATACTCCATGGCAATGACATCCTTGGTGTTTCATGTATTTTCTTTGTTGTTTTTTTTTTTTTTTTTGCTTTTTCGAGACAGGGTTTCTCTGTGTAGCTTTGCGCCTTTCCTGGAACTCACTTGGCAGCCCAGGCTGGCCTCGAACTCACAGAGATCCCCCTGCCTCTGCCTCCCAAGTGCTGGGATTAAAGGCGTGTGCCACCACCACCCGGCTCTTTCTTTTTTGATTAAGACTTTTTTTTATTCACTTTACATACCAACCACAGATCCCCTCTCTTGCTTCCCCCCAGCAACCCCAACCTTCCCCCCACAACTCACCCCCCATTCCCTACTCTGGCAAGATAAGGCCTCCAATGGGGAGTCAGCAGAGCCTGGTCCATTAAGTTGAGGCAGATCCACCCCCCTGCATCAAGGCTATGTAAGGTTTCCCCCCATAGATTTTCCAAAAAACAAGCTCACACACCAGGGATGGATTCTGATCTTACAGCCAGGGGGCCCCTAAAGCAGATCAGGCTACACAACTGTCTAACTTATACAGAGGGCCTAGTCCAGTCCCATGGAGGCTCAATAGTTGTTGGTCTAAAGTTCCCACTAGTTTGATTTGGTTGTCTCTGTAGGTTTTCCCATCATGATATTGATGCCCTTGCTCACAGAATCCCTCTTTTCTCTCTCTTTGACTGGCCTTCTGGAGCTGGGCCTGGTGCTCGGCTGGGGATGTCTACACCTGCTTCCATCAGTTACTAGATGAAGGCTCTATGATGATACAGTTAGGGTATTCACCAATCTTATTTCTGGGGTAAGCCAGTTCATGCGCCCTCACCACTATTGCTAGTAGTCTAAACTGGGGTCATCCTTGTGGATTCCTGGGAACCTCCTTAGCACCAAGTTTCTCCCTATCCCGATGATGTCTCCCTCTATCATGTATCTCTTTTATTGCTCTCCCACTCTGTCCCTGTTCAACCTCGACTATCCCATTCCCTATGTTCTCATCCCTTACCCCTACTCTCTATTGCCCCCTCACCTCCAGTTTACTCATAAAGATCTTATCTATTTCCCCTTCCCAGGGCGATCCATATGTCCCTCTTAGGGTTCTCCTTGTTAGCTAGCTTCTCTGGTGCAGTGGGTTGTAGTCTGGTTATCCTTTACTTTATATCTAGTATCCACCTATGAGTGAGTACATACCATGTTTGTCCTTCTGAGTCTAGGTTACCTCAGTCAGGACGATATTTTCTAGTTCTATCCATTTGCCTGCAAATTTCATACTATTGTTTTTTTCCTGCTGAGGTATTGTTTTTTTCCATTGTGTATATGTGCCACATTATCTTTATTCATTCTTTGGTTGAAGGGCATCGAGGTTGTTTCCAGGTTCTGGCTATTATGAATAATGCTGCTATGAACATAGTTGAGCATATGTCTGTAGCTAGAGTTTTCCTGCCTGGCCCACAGTCAGGGCAAATCTCTGTCACTCCCCAGTCCCACGGCCGCTCAGACCCAACTGAATAAACACAGAGACTTATATTGCTTACAAACTGTATGGCCATGGCAGGCTTCTTGCTAACTGTTCTTATATCTTAAATTAATCCATTTCTATAAATCTATGCCTTGCCATGTGGCTCGTGGCTTACATGCTGCTTGTCATGGCAGTTGCTGGCAGTGTCTCCTTCCGCCTTCCTGTTCTTTCCTTTCTCCTCTCTGTTAGTTCCCCCTATACTTCCTGCCTAGCCACTGGCCAATCAGTGTTTTATTTATTGACCAATCAGAGTAATTTGACATACAGACCATCCCACAGCATATGTCCCTGTGATATGACTGAGTATTCCTTGTGTATGTGCCCAAGAATTGGTATCATTGGGTCTTGAGGTAGATGGATTCTCAATTTTCTGAGAAATCCCCATACTGATTTCCAAAGTGGCTGTCCCAGTTTGCACTGTCACCAACTGTGGAAGAGTGTTCCCCTTACTCCATATCCAATATAAGCTGTCATCAATGCTTTTTTTTTTAAATCTTAGCCTTTCTGACAGGTCTAAGATGGTACCTCAGGTTTGTTTTGATTTGCATTTCCCTGATGAGTAAGGACGTTGAGCAACTCCTTAAATGTCTTTTGGACATTTGAACTTCTTCTGTTGAGAATTCTCTGTTTAGCTCTGTAGATAATTTTTTAATTGGATTGTTTGGCATTTTGATGTCTAGTTTATTTAATTTTTTAAAATATATTTTGGAGATTAGCCCTCTGTCAGATGTGGGGTTGGTGAAGATCTTTTTCCATTCTGTTGTTTTGTCTTATTCACCATGTCTTTGCCTTACAGGAGCTTCTCAGTTTCAGGAGGTCCCATTTGTTAATTGTTGATCTCAGTGTCTGTGCTACTGGTGTTATATTTAGGAAGTGATCTCCTGTGCCAATGCATTCAAGACTACTTCTTAGTTTTACTTCTATCAGGTTCAGTGTAACTGGATTTATTTTCTTTGATCCACTTGTATTTGAGTGTTATGCTTGGCAACAGACATGGATATATTTGAATCTTCTACATGTTGGCATCCAGTTATGCCAGTACAATTTATTGAAGATGCTTTCTTTTTGCCATTGCACAGTTTTGTCTTCTTTGTAAAAAAAATCAGGTGTTCATAGGTGTGTGGATTAATGTCGGGATCTTCAATTTGATTCCATTGGTCCACATGACAGTTTTTATGCCAATACCAAGTTGGTTTTATTACTATAGCTCTTTAGTAGTCCTAGAGGTCAGGGATGGTGATACCTACTGAAGTTACTTTATTGTAGAGGATTGTTTTAGCTTTCCTGGATTTTTGTTTTGTTTTTCCATATGAAGTTGAGTATTGTTCTTTCCAGGTATGTCAAGAATTGTATTGGGATTTTGGTGGGGATTGCACTGAATCTATAGGTTGCTTTTGGCAAAATTGCCATTTTTACTATGTTAATCCTACCTATTTATAAGCATGGGAGATCTTTTCATTTTCTGATATCTTCTTCAATTTCTTTTCCCAGAGACTTAAAGATTTAGTCACACAGGTCTTTCACTTGCTTGATTAGTGTTACCCCAAAGTATTTTCTGTTACTTGTGGCTATTTTAAAAGGTGACGTTTCTCTGATTTCTTTCTCATTTATCATTTGTATATAGGAGAGTAACTGATTTTTTTAAGTTAACCTTGTATTCTGCCATATTACTGAGGGTGTTTTTCAGTTTTAGGAGTTTTCTGGTAGATTTTTGGGGTCATTTATGTATACTATTATGTCATCTGCAAATAGTGACTTCTTCCTTTCCAATTTATATCCTCTTGATCTCCTTTTGATGTCTTCTTTAGCTCTAGCTAAAACTTTGAATACTATATTGAATATATATAGGGAGAGGGGAAAGCCTTGTCTTGTTTCTGATTTTAGTGGAACTGCTTTGAGTTTATTTCCATTTAATTAGACATTGGTTGTTGGCTTTCGATAAATTGCCCTAATTATGTTTAGGTGTGTTTCTTGTATTCCTGATCTCTCCAAGACCTTTATCATGAAGGGGTGTTGGATTTTGTCAAGGGCTTTTTCAACATCCAATAAGATGATCATACATTTTTTTCTTTCAGTTTATGTATATGGTGTATTACATTGACAAATTTTCATATGTTGAGCCATTCATGCATCTCAGTGAAGAAGCCTGCTTGGTCATGGTGGATCATTATTTTGATATGTTCTTGGATTCAATTTGCCCATATTTTATTGAGTATTTTTGCATCAATGTTCATGAGGGAGATTGGTCTGTAATTTTCTTTCTTTGCTGCATCTTTGTGTGGATTGGGAATCAGGGTAACTGTAGCAGCATAAAAAAGAGTTTGGCAGTGTTCCTTCTGTTTCTATTGTGTGGAACAATTTGAAG